TAATTTAGTATTTAGACATAAAAAGTGATGTTATTTTTTGGATTATAACGAGTTGGTTACGAACAATGACGTGTTTCATTAAACAGTAAGTAAGGGCTCATCATTATTTATTTATAAGGTTTACTACTGTTATTTTCAGTTTCCCAGTATACAGCATTTAGAAAATACTAATTGAATCGTGTTTTATTGATTATCATTAGATATTTTAGTGTTCTTGAATATAGCCACTAATTGTGCCTTTGAAACATTATAACCAGTGAATCCAGTAATATTGATTTGATTGCCGATGTAAAGAATTAATTTAGAATTCTTTGTTTATTGAACTAATTTCTTTTTAGTTATTGATTATTAACTACTACCAGTACTATAAAAAACACCACGAATAATGGAATAAAAACTATTATATAGATAGAAAATGTTGCTGTGTGACTTGTTTTATATTTTGTTCGTAATTTTGTAGCTCGCAAATTACAGTAAATTACTATATCAAATTTACTGTAATCGATATGTGTATTGTTCATCTACGACAATAATAAATCTATGCTATAAAGTCTGCACACCTCTATTGTTCAAATAAATCTTACAAAATAGATTCTACTACACGTATATTGTTTAAATGTACAATAAATCTATAAAACACTCGCACTTAAAGTTAATCTAGGTATAGTTAGCATAAGCCCGTTGTTCATTCGTGTCTATAACAGAGGGTTCATCGTACTTTATACGAACAATGTTCAATATCCAATGCTGCCTCTGTTGATCGTGCTCGAGCTCATGGCCATGATTATACACTATTGTATGAAGCCACAATTTTTAATTATACCAAACTTCTATTAAGGATGGCGGCGCCAATCTTGGAGCATACATCTTCAGAAACTTTCCAAATACTTCCCATTGTACGTGTTTCTAAAATAGCAATCGAGGTACAGAAGTCTGCGGCAGCTACATCGAAGGATGTAAATCTATGTGGTTAAACGAAGATGTTGTTACATCAGTCTTTTCGACCAACTTTCTCATGAAAACAGCTGTTAATTTCAAATTATTGTTCATTAACAGGACCAGGAGATTTACCCAGCTTCATAACATTACATTTTTTGGGTTGGAAAGTTCCATTTCTTCATTTTTCGGACACGAGCGATGCTTCGGATACGGATAAATTAGGGTTTCGTAGCCTTTTGCTGTTGTAAACATATTTCTTTGCGAGTTTTCCTCTTCCATAGAGAATATTAAAGGATCTGTTCTTTGTTTGTTGTGTCCTTTGAACTTTTTTTTTTAGAAATTTTGCTTAAGAATGTATCTGTTAATCAAAATGACTTTTTATGTATGTCCTTCCAACCTACTGTACAGTGATCAGATAATCACAAAGAACTATATATATATAGTTATATATATTATATATATATATAAATCAACAAATAAAATCCTATGCAATACATTAAATGTTCATAGGCGTTTAAAATCGGTACAATAAATAATGAACCTAATATAAACCAGAAACAAAATAATAAAATGGAAATTCAAAACCACTCTTCCACTACCATTCCTTGCTGTTGTACTGAAGTAATAAAGGATAATGCCTGTAGTCATAGTACTCAAATGTGTTGGGGATATTCCATCTATCAGGCAAAATCCAAACGCCCATGAAAAGCTTGCAAACAACTGAGGAGAATCAGTTAAGGGTAAGGAGTTGAGTGTCTGAACCCACGCCTCAACTCCAACTGCCTTTCGCTGTTTGCAGTCAGTTGTGGGAAGGCAGTAACTATTAATACTTAGAAATAACTTTAATGGAGAATTAAACCAACCCGATAAATATTCGATAAAACAGATATTAAACTCTATATTTGTATACATTTCGTTACATCGACGATTTTATTTCACTCAATAACCTGCAATATATCCAACAGAGACTAAAAAGAAGTAATAACAGTGACATGCATGCTCATTATTTAGATATAGACATTAAGTTAACAGAAGGCAGTATACAGTTGACTATTTTTGATAAGAGAATGAAATTTGATTTTCCCATCCTTGGTTTACTCATCACTAACAGCGTTGTTCCGTCGGTATTGTTAAAAGGGATTATTACATTCTAATTAAAAGTATTTTAACAGTTTGTAATAATAGTAATTCATTTATGTACAATGTTAATTTGTTCTAAAATAAACTGAAAAATAATGGTTATCGGAAGTGGTTTATTAATTAAAAAAAAAACTACATCAATTCAGGGAGAATACATTATGGAAAATTTAGAGAGCGTTAGTTAGTTGGTTTAACTAGCTATATAGTTCAGTATACCGGGGCGGAAAGACCAACTTCAGGTAGCTGGGCTTGTCTCGGCTCACCCGGTTTATGCTTGAACTGTAAGGGTGTCTTAGTTTGGTTAACATCAAATGAAAGGGTGAAGGTTGGGAGTTTTACTTTGTATAATTTTCATCGGGTTGGTTTAATTAAATTTATTTCTAAGTATTAATGGTTACTGCCTTCCCACAACTGACTGCAGACAGCGAAAGGCAGTTGGAGTTGAGACGTTGTACTCACTTGTGAGTTCAAACATTTAACTCCTAACCCTAAAGACTTAACTGATTCTCCTTAGTTGCTGGCAAGTTTTTCATTGGCATTTGGATTTTGCCAGATAGATGGAATATCCCCAAAACATTTGAGTGCTATAACTACAGACATTATCCTTTATGACTTAAGGACGACAGCAAGGAATGGTAGCAGAGGTGTGGTTTTGAATTTTTATTTTATTATGTTGTTTCTGGTTTATATATATATATATATGCCACCACGATGTGTAACGCTGGTGATATGCCACTACATTAACTTATGCCAATCTTGTGATTGACCTTCTTGTAAACCTGTGCTACAAAACCTATGCACACGTGTTAATTGATAACCCAAATCTTAACTACACAGCAAATATACAGAGTGATTCATAGTTCGCGCATCATTGTCGGAATACCAATACAACTAGAGCATGATATCTAAAGGAATTTATGTCTGTGACAGAGTCATTCTGCAATGTACTGTTTCGCCTCCAGAGGCTGTTCACTAACGTCAGCTGATATGCTTCTGGTACGAAGGAATCATTCCTATAATCTTTATTACCATTGATGTAGAAAATGTTTCTGTCCAGTAGCTACCTAGTAAAAGCAGTAATTGTTGTAGCACTTGTATGGAGAGTTTTACCTTCCAGCAAAATTAATTTAGATATTCTCAAGTGTAAGCTTTACCTTTCTTAATACCTATCATTTTGCTGTGGGAAGTGAGGAGTGTCAAATATAAAAGACTGTTTAGTGTAGGTATTATTCATTTATTTATTTTGTGAGTGGATATTTTATGATTGTTTAGTTTTTCATAAGAAGAGAATTGAAAAGCAATTATATTAAAGGCGATAGTTATGAAAAGTTTGGTTATCGTACGTTGTGCTTATAATTCATTGATGTAGAGGCTATCGAACGTTGTGTGCAATCCATTGATATCGATGGTACAGAGATTTCTAGAAGGCTTAAGTGATAGACATAAATAGTGGCAAGCAGACGAAAAAGAGAGAGGGAAGAGAGCCAAAATTAAAGCTGAGTGAAAGAGAGTTTCAGTCAAAGAAAGGTTAGGAAACGTAAAGTTAACCATCGTAGGAGCGAATAGCCTAATGGTTGATATGCTAAAGTAAGATTAACAGTTTTTCTGACATTTTAGGAGAATAATTTGTTTCATCAAAGGGTGTTCTAAAGCAATTGAACCTGCCTGTGTGGACTTTCACGAAAAGAAAACGATTAATTGGAAGTAAGCCTATATACGAAAAGCAGATGTTTATTGGAAGTTGGCTTAAATACGAAAAAGCAGACGAGTATCGGAAGTTCAGAATACAACTGCTGTAACTCACGAGCCAGCGTAAGTGAGTTATACGTGGATACTAATCTGATGAAAATTTAGAAAAATAGTTAGGCTCGTAAACAATTCTAAATCAATTGAATTAACCAAAGTGGACTTTCGACAAGAAGAAGAGAACTATATAGTGTTTAAGATATAACTATGACCACCATAGTGTAAAGAATTTTGTACATACGTTTAACTTGTTCCGAATATGTATATTATTTGGAAAACAAGTGGAGTTCGTGTTGTTCGTTAATTTTTTAATTTATCGCTAACAAGTTACAGAAACCTTAGCCCAACACACTCATATACTTACTTTAATACATACTTTTAAAAAGTAAGTTCCTGACAAGAAAGTATAGGCATTCTGCCTCTTTCTACTTGAACAGCCCTCTGGTGGCCAAACGGTAATCACAAAGTGGTAGTTATAGGCACGTGTTCTTTGCATATCCTCGAGTTTTCGAAATGCTCCGATAATGTTGCACGATGTGCAAAGCAACTTGTATACATAAATTAAAACGTATTGTTCGTGTTTCTTATAAGTAACAGACAAAGAAACTGAACAAATTTAGCATTAGTCCTAATCCGTATAATCAAAATTCAGGCTAGGTTTTACACGGGAAACACGAGTGTTCTTCAGGCAGAATAAAAAGAGTAAGATGAGCATAGTGGGTGACCTTTATACCCACCTCATGCGAAACATCCCTGTTACTGGCATAAGGTAAGGAAAAAAACCTTATTCAAGAAAATTATAACTGTTTTTATCTACCTGTGATAATTCTTATAATGTCAAGATTTTAGAACAAAACAAACATACGTGATCTTTGGTCAACAGAATAAAAATCAGAGGATTCTATGATTTGTCGCTTCACCAAATATTCTAATGACTTATAACGTTCTGTACTCACTTTCATACGAAGTTTATCTTTCTGGATAGGGCGAGATTTATGATTTAACAAGAAAATAATGGACTCAAAGCTAATCGAGCAGAACTGTTCTTAATTAATAAGTTCTGATCGCTCTCTGAGAGCTTCTGATTCTTCAACATAGAAATTTGAAAAACATAAAGCTCACAAGTCAACGTTTAGCAAACAGAACTTTACTTTATATGAGCTTATCAATATCAAAGTCTTAAGATAATGTAATGAAACAAATACAAATAGATTTGTAAGCTGTTGAGCAACTGTGTAACAATAGTTTTACGCATCTTGAAAACTAACTATTCTTCCCGAAAAAAGTTTTGACCAAGATGTTTATTAAGAAGAATGAACAGAAAACGAATTAATTAAAGTTAAGAATCTGCTTAAAGGACAGCACTGGTTATAATCAATTCATAACCCAGAAACAACAGTATCGGCATGTTATTAGAAACTGAAGAACTTTAAAATCGAAAAATCCTAGGAACTCGTTTAGTTGAACACAGAGGAATCGGTAAGCGAATTTTCAGGTTGGGTAGAATAATTTTCCACGTGGTGTTGGTTCTGAGTTCTGGAACAATGAGAAGAGAATATTATTACTTAATATATAATTCAAAGAATACTTTCCATGCCGGATCCCGTGAACAGGAGTACGGTCCCTTTTTAGATAAATGTTTTCAGATGCAACTGTATTTTTTGTGACATTTCTGTGAACGTGATGTAATTTTATTGTCTTTATTCATATGATATATATGTAAGAGATGTTTTATCATGCTGCTGTGGCCAACAGTATATATATATATATATATATATATAATGACAAGAAAAAAATTTAGCTACTAAGATTTTGTGGTTAAATTGTGTTGGCAATTAGCAACTAAAATCTTCATAAGACTAAGACAGAATTAGTTCAGTCTCTCACCATTGAATAAATAAATCCTCTCAAGCCTTACACAATGAAAGACTATTGGTCTACTATTATTTAATCTTTCACTTACTTCGATCTGTTTGACTTTTTAGTAATTTATAATAAATCCAGAGACTATTGACTTTCGTAGTTTATTTTAGATAATAAATCCAAAGACTATTGACTTACATAGTTTCTTTTAGATAATAAACCCAGAGACTATTGACTCACGTAGTTTATTTTAGATAATAAATCCAAAGACTATTGACATCATAGTTTTTGTCTGATAATAAATACAGAGACTATTGACTCACAAAGTTCAAAATAACTGACGGAAAACGGCTAAATGTTGGGTATTTTGTTTTAGCAACAAGTGAATTGTATGACAAATAATCTAAGATTTTACTGTATGACGAATAATCTAAAACTTTACTGTATGACAAATGATCTAAAACTTTACTGTATGACGAATAATCTAAGACTTTAATTATTCTTAGGTTTTTCAAAACCTTAACATCTAGGGTTAATGGTCACTTAGTTACCAGACTTTCAAAGCCGTACTTATAGATAAATAAAAGTCACCCTCTAGGATTAATGGATTCGTGATTACCAGACTTTGAAAGTCGTGCTTGTAGATAAATAATACTTACTTTCTAGGATTAATGGGTCCATGGTTACCAGACTTTCAAAGCCGTGCTTGTAAATAAGTAAAACTCACCCTCTAGGATTAATGGATCTGTGGTTACCAGACTTTCCAAAATTCTCGCCTTCCTCCAGTGTGTCTGGAATTGGTGAATTGCTAGTCTCAGGTAAAAGTAAAACTAGAAGTCCTGACAAAACGGACAATCCACCAAATATTCCCAACGGAACTCCAGTATTTGTGGCCGTTCCCTTAAAAAAGAAAAATATTAATGTTAATCCAGTTTGTTTCAGTTTGGAAATAACATACAAGTAATATACCCACCACTTCTTTGACAAATGGGGCAATCATGGAACCAATACGAGCACAAGTAGAACTAGACCCCACACCGACATTCCGGACCACAGTTGGGAAGATCTCGGCTGAGAACACATAGATAATAGCAAAAGATGCTGTGATGCAAGCTTTTCCAAGCATCGCCAGTGTTATCCGTAACCATGTCAAACCTAAAGTATAAGGCAAAAATGTAATTTAAGTTTACATTTAAAGAATTATCGACGAATTTATCTTTGATAATCTAATGAATTATTCTTATTAGTAAGGTTGAGTCGAAAATTTTTACATTAAATTTCTTTTTAGAGACAAGAGCAAAGACATCTTTTGAAATAAAATACTTATCTTTAACTTTGCACATCTTTTTGTCAGCAAAAGGCTTGGGAATGGTCGTAATTTTGTGTATCTATCTGAAAAATTATTTTGAATCTGTTCAGTTGATTTTATCTCCTAATTAACACACGAAATAGTGTCACTTTTATAGTGAAGACTGCTTATATATTTTTTCTTTATTCAACCTTAATTCCATCTAAATTTGGGGTCAGCCGCTTGGATATTTTCTGTCAGTCAAAAATGTTTACACTGACACGAACCCTAATGACTGTTTAAATTCTCTGAACTAAAACGAACATAATATGTAAACCATTCAAAGAGAGGATTTTCCTGGGCTAAATGGTGGGTGCCATGCATTATGTATAAACACAACAGCGTGGACCTTCTTTGGTTAAAGACATTATGTATGGATACCACTACCAGAGGGAGGATATCCTTTGGCTAAAGACATTATATATGGATACTTCTCCAACAGGGAGGATCTCTTATGGCTAAAGCGTGAGTATTATGTTTGCAAACCGTTAACAGAGGGAGGGTATTTTTTGACTAAAGCGTGGGTGTTATGTATGGAGACCGCTACCAGAAGGAGGGTCTTTTGTTTTCACTAAAGCGTGGGTGTTATGTATGGAGACCGCTACCAGAAGGAGGGTTTTTTTTTTACTAAAGCGTGGGTGTTATGTATGGATACCGCTACCAGAGGGAGGGTCTTTTTTTGACTAACGCGTGAGTGTTATGTATGGAGAGGAGGGTTTTTCTGAGTGTCTACGTAATGAATTTTCACAAGTTCATTACCTACTCCGTAAAAAGTTTATAATGTTCGAATCTATTTTATACTCAGCGGACCGAATGTAGGTATATGTATACTCACTTTAGAAGTGGATCAAATAGTTTAATTATTTTTTTAATTTGAAGTGTAACCAGTCTGTCCGTAGATATGTGTTTACCTTAACGTCAGTCTCCCTGTTTTGTCGTTTATCTTTAAAGAACATACCTTCAGGGATAGGAATGGTCAACAGACATCCTAGTCCACCGACTAACATAGCAAAAGTCGTGGGCTTCTTTCGACCAAAGTAGTTGAGAATAAATATTGTAACGAAACACGATGGAAGCTCTACAGCTCCAGAAATAAGGAAATTCACGTAGGGATTTCCTCCGAGGTTGTTGGTGTTCAGGGATAAACCAAAGTACACAAACGCATTGACAAACCTTTTGAAAGGAAATAAGGGGAGAGAAAGAGTCAACAAACCTTTTCAAAAAATATTCAAAGATAACTTAATAGAATATCTTACAGCTATAGTAAAATATGAACACACTTCCTTAATCATCGCATCTATAATTCTCTTGATTTGGGAAACTTGTACACTTTCTAACTGCGTTACAAACAAGACACGCCAGGAGAAAACAGAAATGACATGATAAAATATCACAAGGGCAGTATTTGTTTGGAAAACGAATTATTTCTTGTTTTAGGATATTTCTTGTTTGGGAAGAGCTTTTCTTCTTTTGTCAAGGTATTACTACTATGTAATATGAACTATTTCTTGTTTTAGGATACCACTCCCCTAGAAGGAAGACTGTTTTCTGTTTCAAGAAATTACTCGCCTGAACAATGAAAAATTTTCTATTCCAGGATATTACTCTATTGGTAAATAAACTTTCTTCTCTTATAGGATGCTGCTCGTTTGGATGATGGAATCATTTTCGGAATAGTACTCTTCTTTGATATGAATGTGCAAAAAAAAAGCAGTATAATCTTAATTTATTTTTATGTTCTTTGGAACATCTGAGCTAGGAATATCTGAAACGTTTGTAGAGGTATTAGTATTTCTGTTTGGATAACAAAAAAAGGTTAATGTAATTTTCAAAGCAGAGTATTCATTATGTAAATATTTTATGATCTGATATAGATTCTTCTTAGTAAAGTAATTACGTCACATGAATAATTTACCAACAAAAATAAATGTTTAACGTTTTATTTCTCATGTTCGGCGTTTTCAAGAGATCCAAAGCCGTTTTGTTAACCCTCTTCGTCTTTTCCTGAAAAAAAAACAAACTTTTTTCAGTATGTTCTGAATTATGTAAAAAAATAAACGATATGTTTCTACAGAGAAGATATAACAAAACTGGATACACTACAAAGTAACAACTAATTATAGTATTTTGGCATTTGTGTATAAAGTTAAAATCATAAATAATATTCAAAGTTAAACTGGTACACAATTAAAAACATTTTATTTAGGCCTATCTATGGACTTCAAAAAGTTGACGACTCTACATAG